AGATACTTGAGTCCAGAGTGTCATTTCAAGGGGCTACAAACTGGAGTTTTGAAATCTGCTTCCTCCTGCCTCATGCTCTCAAATTTGCTTCCTACTGTGCAAAGACTTCTTGCTGATGTTTAGCAGCTGCTTTCTCAGGGGGTCATTACCCCAGTTCTGAATGTGCAACACTCTCCCAAGGCAAATGGATGCATTTGGCCCATTCTGGATATAAAAACACTCAAATCAAATAGGCATCAGCTGGATTGGTCATTTCCTCCCTTTCTGGGGATATTCTGTAGTCATCAGAGTTAACTACGTTCACATTCTCATTTTTCCTTCTCATGAACACTATCCACATTTTGCTGTTTGAAGACAGTGCTACTTGCATTCTCCCCCTTCTCTTTGGCCTGTCCACAGCTTCCCAGTCTTCACCAAGGTGCTTTGCACAGTTTTAGCTCTGCTCTTTTCTGAGAGGATTCATGTTGTGGAATACCTGAATAATCTCCTGTTTGAAAAAAGGAATTTATTTTCCCATTATTTCTGATAATGTATTTTTCAGATCTTTTCTCTTCATATTCCCTTCATATTTAATCCGACTGGTCTCTGAGTAGCCTCTATCTATGGATTTGTTCTATTTTCTTTCAACAAGGTTCCTGTTGTGCTTCATCACTAACTGTCCTTTTAACCCTTTTAAGTTGCCTCTTGGTGTGATGACAGTAAGGTCTGATGAACCTCAAACAGTGTGTGCAAAAAGGGGGTAATCATAATGAACACTGTGCAGCTAAATTTCTACAAACGTTTGCACTAGGCAGAGCCAGAGCCAAATTCTATTCTTATTCCATCATTTATGCCTCCTGGAGTTAAAAAAATGTATCAAAGACAACAAACATGCCTATGCTACATAATATTATTTTAATATCTTTAAGCTACAGTACATTTTTTAATCCTCTAATTAAAAATTAAATAACTTTTGCCTCTTTGATGTAGTTATATTGTAAACTCTGTAACATTTCTCGGCATGACAGCGACCTTTTTGCAAAGGTCAGAATTGCAATAGCAGAAGCTGCGAATGGTGCATGTTTCCTTTAAAATACATGATTGTGGATAACATTTATTTAAAGGGCTAACTGCTTAGTTAACCTGTGCCAGTGATAGCCACTCTTAGTTGGCTAGTGTTAAGAAAGCTGTACCAAAACTTGAACATTTTACACAGAATAAGTGTGGGTGATCACATTTTGGTACCATCAGTGGGATTTCACAGTGCAACTTCCACAGTGGGTATTAAATAAAAGAATAAAACCCAAAAAACTTGTTGGATAAAAATTCTTAAAATGTAATAACTGATTCCAGTCTGTGGGTTTTGTGAACATTTCACCCCCCACGTTGTCTCCTCAAAGCAAATTATGAGTACCCAGGAGTGGAATAGACTGTCACACTAACCTGCAACAACCAGATTCCAGTTTCTTCCTTAATGGGCCAGGCAGCATATTGCTTAGCATTCTAGCAATGCATAACTATGCTAGGTGCTGAGCCCCTGTATATCTCAGTGTCTTCAGCCTGCCTATGATCCCAACATTTTCTGCCTTGTTGCCCCCTTGTGCACCCTCAGTGTCTCCTGTGGTTCCCGTACTCCTTTTCCTGAGAGACTGTGCCTCTTGTGCATTCCTGTGACACCAATGTTCCTGTGCTCCAGCATCCTTTGCACTCTTGTGCCCCAGAGACAGTGTCCCCTGTATCTTCAGTAACCTTAGCATATCCTGTGTCTCCAGTAACCCCTGTGCATTCTGTATCTCCAGTAACCCCTATATTATGTTTAAAGTGTGGTTTTAAATTAATAGAAATATGTATCTTATTTTTGGTTTATTTACATAGGGAAAATTATTTAAAGCGTGTAATGTGACGTTCAACAAATATTTACAGCAGGTATATTCTCCTGATGCATTTATTACAGGTAATGATTAACCATGTGTTAATGTTTGGGAAATGTCACATTCACTGCTTTTTAAATATACCCCTTAATAAGCACTTGATATGAAATACTAAAAATTACGCCTGTCACTAAAAGACATAGAAGCAAAGCCAAAGAAGCAGAGCAGAAAAAGTGGTCCATTGCTTGCTTTTTTTTAAACATTTATTTATGTAACTATTTATTTGATTTGTTCTTGTCTTTTGGGTTTTTGTAAACCTTATCACATGCCTAAAGTGCAGTTACCTTGTGTTGTTGCCATGAACCATGAAAACTTTGCAAAAGTGCCATAGGTCTCTTGAAACTCCAGCTCTCCAATCATTAAGGTTGGGAACTTCCTCATAGTGTAGACTACTGGCCTACTTTTTTACAGCTTCCACACATACCTACTAGCCTATCGCTATTATGCACAACCTCACTTGCCAATTGGGAAGCACAGCAATTGGGATGAAGCAGGCCACCATTTTACACTATCAGCAGGTGTCCAAGCTCACTCATTAGTGTGGTCAAGGTTTCACAGGGCCAGCAGTACTTTTAATAAACTCTAAAGAAATGACTAGTCATTAGCATTTTCAGGTAAAACCTCTGTGACAAAATATGTAAGAGTTATAAAAATGTTGGGTACTTACCAGCTGTCATGAAAAATCTACATCTATAATATAAAGGTTAATTCAATAATGACAAAATATATTTTTTTCTCTCCAGAGTAATTGGTGCAATGAGTAATTTTGAAGAATTCCGTAAAACTTTCAGCTGTCCAGAAAATACATTAATGAACCGAGGAAATAACTCATGTAGAGTCTGGTAGAAGTGGAAATATTTAAGGAAACAATGTTTGAGCTGCTGTATAAACTGCTGTTTTATTTTGTTTGAAATTTGTAAACCAAAGAGGATAATCCACTTAAATGTATTTCTGCTATCTGGGAAAAAGCCATGATTACCTTTGGACATATCTTCTTGGGCATATCTTATATGCAGTTAACCATGCCTTTATATGATTATTTTATTTTGTAATGTGGATTTCTATTAAAATTATACAGAATTTAAGTTCCCAAAATATGCAAATAAAGAGAAAAGCGTCTGCACTATTATATATTACTGTTATAAAAAAGTGAAATTAATGCAAAAGAGGAAATCATAGTTACGAAGGATGCAGTGTTGTACATAACTGTATATTCTTGGTCATACTTGCACTGAAAGCCATGTATGTATTTATGCATTAAATAACTTTTCTGAATAACTAACAAATGCCTTCTAAATCCATTAAGCAAAGAAAAGTGGAAACTTTCCTGTATTGTGCTACTAACGAAAATTTTGTGTGTTTTTTATAGGACACAAATAAGCTATCTGTCTGCTTATACTACACATATAGACAATAGTTAAGGCATTCTAATGTGGGTCACATGTTCCTGGCTATACAGAAGGGGGTAGGGGAGTGAAAAGTTGCTGCCCCCACACCACAGACAGTGGCAGATATTTACATGGGAAATATAAGCAAATTGACAAGTTTTTTTGTAAAGCCGCCCATAGATTGATCAAAATATATCCAGTTTAGCAGCTGAATTTTGACTCATCTGTGGTTGTTACCTCTCAAAAGAATTTGATCTAATGATTTACTTCTGTCTCATGGAACTGTTGGAAAACTTTTGATGATCAGCCAACTGCAGCCAATAGGCCACAGTGGCTGATCAGTGTATTCTGACAGAGGAGGAGTTTCACTGTCAGACTACACTGGTACAGCAGGGATAATTTTTCCTTTCATCCTACATGTGTGGATGGAGGAATCCATTAAAAAAAAAAACAAAGCAAAAACAACAAAGCATGTATGGTCAGCCTACCTGTCTTAAATGCTTTCTAAGAGACCCATTGACTCCTATTGTTTGAGGCTGCTCATGAAGAAGATAATTAGTCTGAAATGGCCAGATGGAGAGCTTTTATCTCATGTCAATGAGCATGTCCAAAATAATATACCTAGCCAAATGCTTAAGACGATTGATGGCTCTGTCCATTTATTGGTGTAATTTAAAAAAAATCATTTTTTATGAAAGATATAAAAGAAATTAACTGATAAGAAAGAAAAGCTGACATTTACTTGAATATTCTATAAAATAATAGAATCATGAAACTACAAAGTATTAAATAATATGCATAGTGTATGTGAAATAGTAAAATTATTTTTTAAATTCCAGGATAATCAATGTTACAGCCAAGGTTCACTTTTCGATGTTAAATTGGCTTTTTTGTGTTGATGCTATTGCACATATTAAGTAATAAATGGGTCTGATAATTCTTTAATGCCTCAAAAATATGTGTGCAGCATATCGCTCTGGTTACTAAATGTATTATCATAGATTTAATATGTAGATTATTTTACAGAGCTTATTTTTTCTGTTAGGTAAAAATAATTCATTTATTGATTCCTTATTAGACTGATCTCTAAGCAAAATGATGAAAAGTGGCATAAGCTACTGAAAAGTAGTTCTTTTTTCAATTTCCAGTTTATTGGTACATAAAATTGTAGGCAGTTCAACACATTCTGCTGATATAATGTGTGATATTGACTTTGAAATACTGTCTGAATTAAGCTTTAAGATATCTTTCACCTTCAACTGTCTTTGGTATATTAGTTTGTACATACCCCATTGACTGGAACACTTAGGAAATAAACTGCAAAATGTTTTTGCATTTCTGTTGTTTAATTTTAATTGCCTTTATATGCTAACTATGTGCACCTCAAAACCTTTCAAGACCTGTAAAAAAAATAAGGCCCTATTTAAAATGGTTGTATTATAAAAAATGTATGTACAAACCAATAAAACCAATGCAAATCAATAAAGAGATGACGTAATGTGGAAAAATATTCTTCATACAGTTCATACTAAAGCCCAGGTGAACTCTTTTAAAATCAGCTAAATACATTCTAGGTGCATCAAGGCTCAAAAGAGGCTCAATAACTTTTTTTCATTTTTTTCATTTTTAAGTGGCTATTGTCAGAGTAGAAAAGCTTGTTTCCTGCCAGAAAGTTTCAGAATTGGATTCTTGCTTTCTGTGGGGAAGCAGTGATTTCTCTGCAGAGGTCCACCCACCCCAAGTGAGTCAGAGCTCTCCAATAAACAGGTGACATAAATTTTTTTCTGATTGCAGAGCTTTAGCTCTGTCTTATCTGTGGGTATGCTGGATGTCTGCAGGCAGACCACTGCTTCATCACAAAGAGCAGGGGTTCCACTCTAAAGTTGCTGGAATGGGACTGGCCTTTCTACTTGGGCAATAGTTGCTTTAGATAGAAAAAAATAAACTGTAAGATATTTTCAGCTGGGCTTTAATTTTCTAATTGTTTCAGTTTTTAAATATGGGCATATTGGAGTATAAGTGGTACCCTTTATTGACTGCTTTATTGGTTGTCCTCCTGAAAGCTCACATTAAAAGATCTGAAATAGCCAATTGCAACACTGAAGAGATTTACATCCTTGAGAGGAGTCTTCTGCTCACTAAGCAGATAGCTAATGGGGTTGATGTAGAGGGTGGAGTGGAAAGTCAGGACAATAAGGTTTGAAGGTAGATTGCTGTAGATAGAGGGGGTGGCAGGGGTTCACAAAAAAAAATCCAGTTATGTGTTTTAACTCCCAAACAAACATGCAAAGTTGAGTTAAGAATTGTAAGTGGCAAACCCAGAGGAGCCATCCCTAGATGTCATTGATACTCCTAAGAACTGAGAGAGCAACACATCTAGTAGGGGTGGTGAAGGTAATGCAGGAAGACTTAGACAGTTGGTAGTAATAGGGGATTCTATAATTAGGAAGTTGCCTGGATTGCCTCAATGAGTTGAGTGAATGAGTTTGTGTGTCCCCGGTGCTATTGGTCGACATGTGATGGACCGTGTAACCATATTACTGAGAAGGACTGGACATTATCCAGCTGTCTTGGTTCATGTTTGGACCAATGAGAGAATGCATGAAAGATGGAAGATTCTTAATCAGTTTAGAGAACAGATTGCAAGTTGAAGTGAAGGATCATTGAGGTTATATTCTCTGGAATATTACTTGTCCCATGTGCAATACAGAGAGATAAATGCAAAGCGAAAACTTAGAAAAATTAAAAACATGACTAAAGACCTGGTATAACAGGTAAAAATGTGGGTTTCCAGAGCACTGAGATGATTTTCCGTTAAGGTACAACCTATATGCCTAAAGATGTTTTGCGCCTCAATGGAAGTAGAATGCTGTTCTAGGGGAAAGATTTATAAGAAGGTTGGAGGAATATTTAAACTAGAATTGAGGCTGGAGAAAGTGTTAGAATAAAACAGGGAAGATAAGTCAGAGGTCAGACACAAATGAAGTGTGCAATGGAGAAGATGAGGGGAGGGCAATGGCAGGTGATAAGGTGATTCAAATGTTACACAAAAAAACATTGGCTATTACATTTCCATTTGTATTACAAAAAAAGATATGGTAAAGACAAGTGCAAGATGCACCAATGGCTTGTTCATCAATACCAGAAAGCTGCCAAGCAAAATAGGCGATTTGGAAGCTTTGATGCATGAGGGGATTTTTGACTTAATTGGCATTGCTGAATCTGGGCTGTTAATATTCCTGTCTATGATCTTTTTCAGATAGACAGCCTGAAATGAAAAGGTGTCAGTGACTTAACAAATTGACTGGTGTAATAGAACTGCTGGCACAGTCAAAGTCAGGAAATTTATAAGCTTATTACATGACAATTTTATGCTACACTTTATAGACGCCCCAACGAGAAATGATGATCTGCTGGACCTGTTAACCTCCCTGGCGGTATTCCCGAGTGTAGCTAGGGGTAAAGTTTCAGTACCACAAGCGGTAACCCCGAGCTACACTCGGGCTTACCATGCAGCGTTGCTCCACGATCCCTCGATCACTCACCTTGTCCTGCGCTCCCACGGTGTCCCTCCTGCAGTGTCCCCGGCAATGTAATCCAGCGGATGCCGGCATCTGTCTTCTGGGTTCTGTCCCCTGCGAGCGTCGGGATGTACGGGGGACGGAACGGCGGGAAATTAAAAAATGACAAAAAGTGACATTCACTAAAATTTCACATAGTAAAACATTACTGTATCAAAGTATTTCACATACATTTTGTCCCTAGTGCTTTGTCCTGTGCTCTGCCTGCATTTTTACTGTTCTTTCTGCCTGGAAACTGAGAAACGTACATGGCGTCCAAAAAGCGGCCCTTTAGGTCAAAAGCGGTTTTAGACCAGCCAGAGAACAGTGATAGTAAATTAGAACCACTTGCAGAATTGAGTGATAATGATTCGTAGGGAAATTCGTCATCAGACACTGAAAACGATTTTGCGACTTTGCTCAGTGATGTGCGAACTTGGCGCTCTATTTCAAATTTCAGTGTTTTTGGTTGGATTATATTATTGAATTAAATTTATATTATTATCATATTATTATTTTTTATGATTATTTATTAAATTATAATTCATGATTTCGTGTTTCAAATTTTATCATACCCGGGATGTTTACTAGACTCTTGTTCGGACAGATTTCAGTGAGTTATTCCTAAAAATAGGAAACAGGCCTGCAATAAAAAAAATACATATTTCTTGCAAAAAAAATGTACTGCTTTGAGCACAGAAATATGGACATAATCAGACCACTAGGGAGGTTAATCTCAAACACTGCAGAGCTTATTACAAATGTTCATATTATAATAAAATCTTGGAAACAGTGAGCATAACATTAATTCATTTAATTTAAGATGTAAAAGTGAAATCATACTAGAAAATAAAAATAAAATTTTAAGAGTGCAAATTTTCCAATACTGAGGGCTATTCTCCAAGACTTAGGATGGGAGAGAATATTGTCATCAAACAACACAGAACAGAAATGGAAATCTTTGAAATCAACTGTATGCAAACGTGTATACAAAATATATTTTACATGGACAATACGTTTAAATGGCTAAAAGTAAAATGTGGCTAATGTCCAGTGTGGTAGGTACCTACTCTAATTCCTTTGAGTAATCCTTTAAAGGTGCTGGAGAGTGTGGTATGTTGAGAAAAGCCAGCATGTATACATTTTCTTTGCCTTTTATGGAATAAAAGAATATGAAGAACTTAAGATACAGTTAGACTCCCAACTTTTTCTACACTTCTGTGAAATAGGATGCTGACTTTTTAAGGAAATGTTTGCTTTGCAAGGGAATTTTACCTTAGTTTAGTGAATGTGGTGAAAATTCACTTTGTAAAAAATACCCAATTATGTGTAATCAAAAAAAAAATGTTCCTTGCACATGATTGCATGATAAAATGCAGTAAAGCTTCGCCACATTCACTAAGCTAAATGAAAATTCCCTTGCAAAGTGAACAGCCTATTTCCTTGACTGCAACAAGAAAGACATGATATTGTTCCTGTATAAAGCTTCAATAAGGCCTCATGCAGTTCAGTTTTGGGCACCAGTTCAAAAAAGGATATTGGGAAACTGAAGAGTGTGCAGAGAAGGGCAACTAAACTTATAAGAGGTATGGAGAACCTCAGCATGAGGAAATATTTGAATTGAATGTATTTTTCTCTTGAGAAGTGTTTAAGGGAGGGCATGATCCCATATATAAATACAGTACATAAATGGTCCATGTAGTAAACTTGTTGCTATGTTATTTACTTTACGATCATTAAAAATAAAAAAAGAAACCTTGTGCTTAGTGCATAAAGTAAATATCTGAGAACAGCATACAATCAATATCAGAATACAAGACGTAGGCAATATAACTCTAAAAACAGGTGCGCTAAAACTTTAAAAAATATGTCATATAGATCAAAAAAAAACGTTTATAGCAGACAACAACTATATTCAATAAAGTCCATCAAAGTGAAGAATAATTCTTAAAGTGCAATATTCAAATATATTGTTAGTAAGCCAAGTGGAAATCTTAGACTGAGCCAGTGTTCTAAGAAAATTCATGCCACATCTCCTACATAGCTCCTCTTACATATCCCATGTGGTAAATATTTCAAAGAGAGAGGAAGACCTCATAAAGCAACCCATAAAAATGTAACAATGTAAAATGAATTTATTTTGCTCTTGCGCTCACATGTAAGGCATAGGTAAACTGCATTAGCAGAGTCAAAGATGGAGCTGCTGGAGCTTCTGCTGGTGTGCGCAATGACATCACAGGCAACAAGCTCTGCCAAAATGTATCTACACAACTGTCAGCATTATAAATATATTTGGACTTGTGATATATAACATTTTTAACGTGAAAGCGCACTTGTTTTTTGAAGTCTACTTCAAAATCATTGCAAAGGCAAGGGGGAACTCTCTGCTTTTGAAAAAAATAAGATTTAACCTCCACATACAGAGAAAAACGTCTTCACTGTAATAACTGTGCAAATATGGAATAGACTGCCCCTGGAACTAGTTCTAAACTTGATTTAATTCCTAAAAGTCTTACAATGTATCCAGAGGCAGATGCACGAAGGGACTAGGAGTTGCACAACCACTGGGGGCTGAAGTTTGCATACACCTGCCTTAGAGGATAAGGAGGGAGATTTTTTTCTTCTGTTGGAGAAAATTGAATTATGCTCAGGGGCAGACTGACAACTCATGGGGCCCCCGGGCAATAGGGGATCATGGGGCCCCTGTGTCCTTGCCCAAACTTAAATAAGCCTATGAAAAAGGTACCAGGGGCATCTCATGGGGCCCCCTACTGACCCCGGGCCCTAGGGCAGTGCCCGAGTTTCCAAATGGTCAGTCCACCCCTGACTATGCTTTATAAGGGTTTTTACCTTTCTCTGGATCGTGGGTAAAGGTATCTGTATATAGAGGTTTTCAATTTTTCTATTGGTTGGACTTCGTGTCCATTTTTCAACCTGACAAACTATGTAAATTAAAGTGTAAGTAAATGCAAAACTTTTTTTTAAAATAAAATAGGAACAAATTAGACCCTTTGTCTATTTTTCATTGCAGTCCGTATCCCCACTGGGGATATTGACCTCTCTACTTGTATTGTTACTGAGACAGAAAGCAAGAGGAAGTCTACATTTTAGAGAGCAAGTGGGAAGGGAAAATCTTTCAATGAGACAAAGGTTCTGGTGACAATCAAAGATGGGAATTTCCCTCACTTTTTTATTCTTTTGCACTTGCAGTTGTGCCTCCAAGATAGGAAGTGAAGAGAAATCTCCATAGCATGAGAGAGACAGCAAAAATTAATCTGATAGGGGTTTTGTCCTTTCCTACTCTATCCAAATCAAAAAATATTTGGACATATGGGGCACAATTCACTAAAGCTTATTGCATGAGTTAAGTCAGTCACATGACCACATATTGCATGCGATACTGAAAATGTCAATTGACTATTGCTAGTATGCGGTATTTACAGAAAATAGCAAAAATGTTCAATAAATACTGCATAAAAAGACCTTAAAGTCAATTCACAAAAGGAAATAAATAATTCAATGCATGTGCTTATTAAGTAGTGATCTAGGCATGCGGTATATACTGGTATCTGTCAGTACTGTCATGGGTTGTTATGGAGTGGGTGGCTGCCGAGTTCTTAACAACCTATAAACCCACTAGCAGGGCTCCCTACTGACAGCTGAATGTAAAAAAAAGAATTGCCAACAATTCAAAAAATATTTAAAAAAATGGTCATCCATACCAAGCCCTGCAAGTTTGGTATGGGTTCTGAGGGGATCCCCCATGCCAAATAAAAGAAAAATACTAGACCCTTATCTGAGCATGCAGCCCAGCAGGTCAGGAAAGGGGGGGAACAAGAGAGCGCCCTCCCCCCACCTGAACCATACCAGGACACATGCCCTCAATATGGGGTGGGGGTGTGCTTTGGGGCAGGGAGGCCCCCCCTCCAAATCACCTTGCCCCCATGTTGATGGGGAAAAGGGCCTCTGTGGGGGACTGTGGGAATCTGGAAGCCCCCTTTAGCAAAAATCTTAGTTTATCACCCCACTCTTAAGAGGAAATTCTAATGGTTTGGGATCAAATGTATTGAAGGTTTGCTTGGTGTTTTACATCTAATGTTTTTTGCTGAAAGTTAGGACAGAGCTTTCTGAAAACAATAAGGGATAAGGGAGGAAAAGTAAGGGGGGTATGTGTGTGTAAATCTCAGATTAAGCTACAGAGCTCTGTAAGCAATGGGTTTCTTCTAGGATATGAAGCTATACAGCTAAACATTTGAAAATAATAACACTCCACCTGCTGGCAAGAAATGAGAATATAAAATACTCATATACAACATTTCACCTGACTTCATACATGTATATGAAAACATTTTTTTTTGTTCATGCCTATAATTGATTAAAATAGAAAATATTTGTAAAACCACTGTACTGTCCTTTTATCATCTCTATATAATGAATTAAGTAAATCCAAAAACTAGTGATGTTGCGTTAGTGCTTTCACATATGATATTATGTGTGATCTATTGCAATGCTTGGAGAAAAACTGTCCAAGGTCAAAATCAGCAGTGGCCAAATAACAGAAAATCTGCACTGGTTTATAATAAAATGGTTGACATGTACCCTATTGTTAAATTGTAAAAGCAATTTCAAGCAGAAAATCCTGTACATTTTGACTGTCCCCAATGTTCCCTGCATCTGGACATAATTTATGGACTGAGGAAGGATTACATTTACGGTACTCATCTTCACTCATTATTATTGTGGCCATTGATGTAGGCATTTCAATTTAGTGAAAGTGTCTTGTAAGGTTGTAAAAACTGAAAACCAAAATGATGAGAACAATAAATAAGTGAAAGCCCGCTCCTGCTTTTCTCAAATTGTTTAAATTTGCATTGCTTTTTCCAAATGATTCACATTCAGAAATTACTATATGAAATAGTCTCTGGTAATTCACATTTACACACCACTAGCATTACTGGAATAGTGTCCATACAATTCCATGCCCATGGCAATTTGCAAGTGATTTCAATAACTTTCATCCAGATTTTCATTGCACAAATAATTGAACAAATTAAGGCTACCAATCATTATTCATCAACACTTTTTACTGAAACTGCCAAACAATGAAAACTTAATGGAATAATTGTTTGCTTGTGATTAAAGGTAACGAC